AACACTCTTATTCCCAAGAGCCACCTCAAAATCTAACCTTCTGTGTGAAACTTCTCCCCAATACCCCAAGCAGAGCCTGAGATTTCATCCCCTTTGTGTGGTCCTGTAATACAGCACTTTTATACTCCATTATAGTTATATTTAATTCCCAAACATGTGAACTCCTTGAAAGCAAAGACCCTATCATATTCACTGTCTCCTGCCTAATACATAAATATTGGTTGAATAAACAAACTAGATTAAACTATAAACAGAGATGAATGTCTAAATATAACTGTTCAACATCTGACATTAAAAATGTCATTGTTTTGAAGGGTTTGATTTCTATTTTGTTATCATTTGGGGAGATTACCTGGAGAAAGAAGTTGCTTAGACAGAACTAAGGGAAATAAACTAAGGAAAAGAATATTGCTTGCCTGCTCTGACCTTAATTTGCAGTGGTTTGTATTTTAAGGTGACTAGGGGAATGTGGGACCCTTTCAACGTGCAAAGTTCATGAGTTGAGCAGAGAGTCCTATAAACCCAGATGGAGACCAGAAACTAGATAAAGGCTGAGAAAGCAAGGGTTAAGGAGGAAGAACTTACTTTGAGGAAAATGAACACATACCAATATAATCTCAAGTAACTAAACTAGAAACCGTGTTAAACATTAGCAGTAAAGCTTCAACTGGAATGTATTGCTAAAAACGATCCCAAAACAGGCAACATGGATGGATCTTGAATGCATTATGCTAAGTTAAATAAATCAGACAGAGCAAGCAAATATTGTATCATCTCAACAAAACACAACAAGAAACAAACTCAGAGATACAGAGAACAGATTGGTGGTCTTTAGAAGTAGGGGGCAGGAGGTGGACAAAATGTGTGAAGGTGGTAAAAAGGAACACAGATTCAGTTATGGGGCTGTATGTTACATTCCCATAATTTACTTTACAAAACTGTAACTACGTGTGGTGATCATCTCTCAACATATACAAATATTGAATCTTTATACTGTACACCTGAAATGCAACCCCCACAAAAGCCCATCAGAAAACAAAGATAATCTGGGAATTTAATTCCACAAGCATTTAATGAATATCTACATGTTAGTCACTAAATTGTGGCAAGAAAGTAGGGCTAAGAATAATCACAAAAATGCTACTTAACCATTCCTTTTAGAACAGAAAGGAACATGACAAAACAATGGAAATCAGAATTTGGTAGTTGTCAAGCAGTAAAGAGTGACAAATTGTAAATGTGGATTCAGCATTATCCCTAGGAAATACTATGATTTGTTCAAGGAAGGTTTAAGATGAAACAACAGCTTGTATCATAATCTATTTTCCTTGAAAAAAATGTTAGTGCTTGATTTCATTTCCAAAAATCTTAGTTTTAACTGTAATGTTAGTCTCTCATGTAAATTTGTCCACAGTCAATAGCAGCAACTACAGAACTAAATATTAAGATAGGCTTCAAGTTCTAGGACAAAAAGGCCTAAAGTAAAAGTTCTGGACACCCAATTCAGAGAAGGACCCCAAGAGATAAGAATTTGAGGATTATAGATGGTATGATAGTATTAGGTGTCTCTAATAAATGATCTCTAAATAAACTTCAGACAATGTAATTCTGAGATATGTTATATGCGTGTAAATCTCGGCTATGTTACATCCTAACTGTGAACAAGTGACTTAATTTCTCGGCGCCTCAATTTCTCTCTGTATAAAAGGTGGGTGATGAAAAGTGCTTAGAAGAGGGCCTGGCACAAATCAAGCCATTAAATGTTAGCTGTTGCTGTACCCCCATAACCTATGCAGATATGGAACACAAGAATTTAATTTTATGTGGGAAAGACACAGTCAGGACAGCTATCATTGCAAGTTTAAAAGTTCTAGTACAAGTTCAGATAGTGAGACATTTATCTCAAGGCCAGCTGCTCACTCCCTTTTAGCTGAGTCCTGGGCTGTGATGATCTCAACAATGCAGCTATTTTATGTAATCCTCATAATTTTTTTTTTTGTCCGTGAGAAAACCAAGGCACAAAAAAAAATTACTGATTTGTCCAAGGGTCACATTTCTCCACCCTTTTCTAGCGTCACACAATGTAATTCTGAGAAGTGGCAGTGGTGGTCTACTTTTCAATTCACATTTATGTTAAACTGATTTTTATTAAATTGGTCTTGCAGGGTTTGATGAAACCGGGGAAAAGAATACAAGCTTCCTACATCAACAGATCTGATCAAGAAGGTCCTCGGGAAGAGCTACTTCATAGAACCAGTTGATGTCCAGATAGGGTGGCACTAAGAGTCTCAGAAAAAGGGCAGGATAAGCCAGCGGGAATGTCTTCTGTATAATTAGATACAGACTGAGTCTGGACAACCTAAAAGCAGGGACTGAGAAAAATTTTTTAGGCAGAATCCAATGTTGGGCAATGGCAGGGTTTAAGTGATCAGCAATTTTTAAATTCTAATGTCAAGAAACCTGTGAATAACCAAGAGAAGTGGCTTGAGCTCACAGGGATAGATAGGGACCTATGAAATGTAATGGTCACCATAGATACTTGTAAGATGAGGCATTAGTGAAACCAACAGCTATAGTGATAGCTTATCAAAATAATCATTTGATCCACCAGTCAACAGTATTTACCGAGCTCCTACATGCATGGCAGAGTAGAAGGTAACAGATAAAATGCCAAATGTCATTTCTATTTCTGCACATTTCTTTACTTTTTCTAACAGTCAAGTCAATAAATGAGGCACTTACTGGGCTACATTAAACCATTACTGAATTAATGAATATGCGTTCTAGCCAGTGGACTAAGCGGGTGGGGAGACTGGAGGAACCAGTTGAATGGGGTTAAGAAAAGGCACTTCTGTCAAGATTAACAATGAAGTAATTCTACAGCACTTTTACTTTTTGTAAACCACTCTCACATTTATTATTCTTTCAGTTCCAACTCCAAAGGCTATAAGGTAAGCAATTAATGTTTTTATTTAACTTATGACAGCATTAAGGCCTCGACACCTTTATTGACTTGCCCGAGGTTACACAACTCAGGTCAGTTGCAGGGGCGGGAACTAAGAACCCAGGCTTCCTGCTTCCCTGCCCATTGAGTCCTTCCACTGAGCCGCACTTCCAGGAGCCATCCTGCGGCTTAAGAGTTGGCGACAAGGCCCCGCGGTTAGAACATTCGCAGTTCACACCTGGCCCTGAACCTGTTGCCCACGCGGCACCAGTGGGAAGGTGGTTGGCTCCTCTGTTTGGGGCTGGGAGGGAATGGCAGGCTACCCTGTGGGAATCAGCTGTTACTTACTCATACTGCCCGTTCCTCTGGGCTAGGGTCAGGGTGCAGGGCTCCTGGACAGGACCCTTAATCTCCACACCCTCCACAGTATGTGGGCTTTAGTCAAGGGTTTGCATTAAAACGCGGCCAGTGAGGGGTAACCCGTTGCGGGACGGAGGGAGACTGCCGCCCCTCGGCCCGCCCACCCCCAAACCGGAGGCTCGGCCTCCTGCGCCGGCCCCCTC